ACTCTGTTAATGGACGTTCAGAAGAGGAAGAAAATACAGGAGGGTAGAGCTCTGGGTAAGGCCACTTAGAACAGGAGGACCAGAGCTAGATATGGGTAGTGGGGTGGGCATTCCACAAGAAAGAGGATGCATGAAATTGTCCTTTGAAAGCAAACAATATCATCCTTATGAGATTAGGTGCTTCATCCAGTCATCCAGCTGGTGGTGGGGCCCAGTCTATACCTATGCTTCCTGACTCGGATTCTCCTATTCTGAGCTATAGGCAACAGGCCCTGAAACTGTTCTGATTGAGGGCAGAGGACAACCTTGAACTCAGTATTCAGGCTACAATACCGCATAGTACTAGAACTCAGGGATTTGGAGTCAGACAAGCGTAGGTCACCACTTACTGAACTTCATGATTTCAGGAATGTTCTCTGACTGTAAAATGGAATGTGTACCTCACAGACGAACACACCAAGCCCCCACCCAGTGCTGGCTCACAGTCCTCAACGACTGGGAGCTACTTACTCAGTATCAGAGCAAATCCCACTCTTGCGGTGCCGCCTCACCTCATAGATGTTGAATTGGCTCTGTCCACGAGCCAGCTCCCGGTAGCTGGTGGTAAACTCTCCAATGAAGTCATGACTGCAAGGGAAGGCTACAGCTGAGACCTCAAGGCCCAGACTGGGCTCCATCTCTGCCCGGACCCCTACCTTTCACCTACCCTTCCCTTGGCTCCCAATTCTACCTGAGTCTTTGTCCCAGGGGCACCTGACAGCAGGAAGACTAGGTCCCTGAGAAAAGAATCCAACATCACCAAGCAAAGGAGCCCTAGAGAAATGAGACCTTGGATGGACATGTTTTGGTGGAAGACAGCCAAGAAGTTCCTTGGAAGGACAGACCCAAAAGCTGGCTGGAGTTGGGAAAAAAAGTCTCACACAGAAATCTGAAGTTCGTACAAAACATAACCACCAAGGTTCCTATTTAGATTCTGGTTTGAACAAATCAGCAATAAGTGGTATTTTTAGTACAACTGAGGAAATTTGAATATGAAATACCTATTAGATAGTAGTCAAGAGTTATTGTTCAATGCATCAGGTGTGATAATGGTATTTGTAATTATGGAGAAAAACGTCCTCATATTTTAGACATGCCCAATAGCGCTTAACAACAACAATGAAATTATTTAGAGGTGAATTACCATGGTGTCTGTAATTTATCTTATTTTTTTCTTCTCCATCACCCAAGTTAACACATATCTATCCTGTAGGCAGTAAGTTACTCTCTCTTCCCTCCCACCCCTGGTAACCATCAAAGAATGTTTTATGTACAAAACAAGCAAGGTAAAATTCAACAAAGGTTAAATTCAGGTGATGAGCTTTAAGGTGCCCATTAAACTCTTCTCTACTTGTCAGAATATTTGACATTTGTCCAATAACAGTTTTTAAAAGACAATGAGGGCTTTGTCCATCCAGGCAACCAACAGAGGGTGTTTTCTGCAATGCCCACACCTTCTAAGGCTTTGCCCCACCTCACCCCCAGTGTGTGTTTTTGCAAATTCAGCAAAAACTGTACAGAGCATAACTCCTACTATCTACCCTGTGGTTTGTTCCCTTCTAACCCCCAGGAGGGTACTGGTTACAACAGCACTCAACATCCTGGCCTGGGATGTCCTGTCGGAGAGTGATACCCGGAAAGTGTCCCCGGTGCCCTCCCTTGTATTTTGACAATTTGTTTACAGCTCTCAGTCTTCAGACTTTGAGCTCCTTGAGGCCAGAACCCAGGGGCACCTGGCAGTGACCTCCATCTGACATGGAAGAGAAGAACCTTCCAGGTAAAGAAGAATGGGTAACTCCAGGATAAGAAAGAAAGGCAAATCAGGCGTGGGAACCTCAAGCTGAGCTGTCTGGCTGTGAGGTAGGAGAGGAGGGGGACCAGAAAGGAGGGAAGGAAGAAGGGAGAGACTGGGGGTAGTGTTTACATTGAAGCTACTATTTAGCAAGCTCCTCAGATAGAGGTTTGGGGATTAACTTAAAGCTGCAATATTTAGGGGAGCCCTTTATATTAGATTGACAACATCATGATCTACATCACAGACTCAGGAGACACCAGTGGAGAATACAGGGCACCTCTTGGTGGCACCACCCAAAGAAGGGCTCAAAAAAGTCAGGATGACATATTTAGATTTGGTTCAATGGACAAGTAGGAAGCAATAGAGGTCTGTTCTTATCCTCACCTCATCTATGAATTCCCAGAAACACTGGTTCCTTGGGGGAACCTCAGATCCACAGAATGGGAACACATTGGCCCCCTAATGATTCTAAGTGAGAACTACCCTCCCATCCATCAAGCACTGCCTCCTGATTCTCAAGAATCCATTTTTGTGCATCACAGCTCTCACCCCACCCCACCACGTCCCCGACACCCGACCCCATGACCTGGTGTCTCGGGCCTTGCTCTCTGCAAACAGTACCTCTGGGGAGTATAATGGACCTCACCTCCCCACCACACGGCTGACCCCATCTTCTGCATCTTGGTGGCCCCACAATGCTGAGCCAGGGGCCTCATTGAGAGAACATGACTCTAGATGCTCGGGGGTCACTGCTATTTGTCCCCTAGAACATGTGCAGCTCAGAAAATCCTCAATTCTGCCAAACCTGGGGAGACTTCAGGCACTGGAAGTCCACTTGGCACGTATTTGGAGCCAGGAGGCCTCCTAAGCCCTTTGTACCACACCTCCAAGGAAGGAGACTGAGGTACTGAGGATAGATGGATGGACACTCCCATAGGATAACCCAGGTCCTTCCACCCCCAACACTGCCATGGTAGGGGCCTGGGTACAGCTCTCAGCTCTCTCCAAGTGTGGGCAGGATGCGTTCTCATTCCTGTTCCCAGGGGCTGCCTCCATTGTTGCTCACCTGTGCCCTCTGGCCAGCTTACCTGCCATCTCGATCCCAGTCGTATACCTCCACCTTGATGGTCCTGTAAAGCAAAGGGGTAGTGGTAGGATAAGCCTGACCCAGCTCCATGTGGCCTGAAGACAGCGCCTCCTCATGCCCCTGGGCCAGAGGGGGTAAGGGGCCAGGCTCCAGGCCCTGGATGGAGTGGTAACAACTTGGGAGACAAGGGAACTGTCTCAGGGCCTTTTAGTTAAGGCCTTAGGGACTAAGGCAGCCCCAGAGCTTTGTAAGGACTTCCTGGAACTTCAAGGAAGAAAAACAGCCTCAGATTTCAACTCACCTTACCTTCTCTTTGGCTATTGCAGGAGGGGCAAGGGGTTTCCAGCATGAGGCCATACTTGTGCATTTATTACAGGGTGGGCTCCCGGGATCTCAGGCCTAAGCAGGGCTGGTTCTATGGCGAGGGGTAACTAGTTGGGTTGGTGGGACTAGCCTGTGTTCAGAGATGGGCTCAGGAGCACTTCCTGTGGGGGAAGGATGGCCTGCCCAGCATTTCCACCCCCAAGACTGGCTCCTGAGTGAGGGTGTAATTATCATCACATTGTAGCCTGGCTGCTTTAATTAGTTTGTTTTGACTCCTGTGCTTGGGGCTGGGCTTTGGGAGCCCATTTTATTTTTAGCCACGTTCCCATGGCAACAAGCTAGCGGACAAGAGGTGGGAGGAGGAAGGTGGAGGGTTTCGGGTTAACCCTTGGTGTGGGCTGCTGGATCCTTCAGGGATGCCCAGGGACAGGGGGCTTCCAGGGCCCTGCTGCAAGGGGAGGGTCTAGGGAGCTGGAGAGGCCTTGGGAGCTGGTGGTCTTTAGCTTGCAATCCTAAATGAGGTGCGCGAAGGCAGCTGCTTGGGCCTGCTCTTGGGTTAACATCCCATCCTTTCTCCTGTGGCTGGCTGCAGCCCATCTCCTCAGCCTGGAGCAGTGGGCCGTGGGGCTCTATGGCCCCCAGAAAGAGGCGCTGTCTCTCTTCAGATGTGCCTCTTTGGGGTATTGTGTGTGGAGGGGTTTTGGGGAGTCAGGTGCATTCTCTACATCAGAGTAGAATCTGATGGAAGAATGCCAGGTAGGTACAAAAAATGATGGATTTTTGTAAACCAAATTTTGTGTAAAATAGGTTGGTCATAGAAGCCCACCCTTTAAAATAATCTTCCTTGTGAAAAACAAAGAAACTATGTCCCTGAGGTGAATTACTACAGGAAACAGAAAAACATTAGGTAAGTTGAAAAGAGATTGGGGTCTCCACTTGGACTTCCCTAGGGTTGGGGAACCTAGGGAAGTCACTTAACGTCTCTGAATTGCAAACAATCATCTCTAATGTAGAGATAATAACAGCCTTGTAGAGTAGGGGTCCTGGCCTGGTGCTGTATGATCAGCAATGGACTGCAAGGTTGATTTGAACCACAAAGTTGACGGTTCAAACTCACCAGCTGCTCCTTGGAAACCCTATACCGGGTCACTATGAGTCAGAATTGACTCAAAGGCACTTCACAACAACAACTAAAGGAGAGCAGAGCAACAGGATGAAAACAATGACAAGAGCCTGTGTCTCTAATGATGAGGAGCCACTGTACTCGCCTTGTATCAGTCTTCCTAAAACTACCAGGTGTGCCCAGTGTGCAACCCAGTTTGTAAACCAATGCTGTGGTTCAGAGCCATGGTCAAGTGACTCTGGCTGCATGTTTTAGAACCAGCCAGGGAGCTTTCCAAAGACATCCCATGCCTGAGATCCGAACCGAGCAAGTCACTCAGGCCCTCTGGTTGTAGACTTCAAAAATCTCCTGTTGATTTCACTGGCATCCGGAGCTTTGACCACATCTAAGACAAATTGCCCGCTAGTCTCCCCAGTCTCTGAGCTTGTGGTTTTCACAGATCCAGCTACTAGTTGGAAATGATGCTGGTAGTTGGAGAGGACACCCTTTGTTGGGGAAGGAGTAGGAGGCAGGTATACAGGAGCCGGAACTTCAGCTGTTTAGGCCAGAGGCTGGAGCCCAGGACTCAGAGGCAGGGACTTTCACCAGCTATACGACTGGACACTCTTTTTTTTTTTTTTTTTTTAAGTTTATGTCTTTTATTACTTCATACACAATTACTTATCTTCTGGTTTATTGAAGCAATAGGTCAGACAACACTTGCCACAGTAATGTCTATCAAAATGACTGGCCATAAAAACGCCAGCACCACATTCATCAGAAGGACACTCCCGACGAAGACGACTAATTTTGCCGTTCTCATCCACCTTGTAGTATTTTAGGACAGCCAGCTTAACCTTCTTCCTCTTATGCTTATTCTTCCTGGGAGTAATGTAAGACGTCTTCCTTTTCTTAGCGCCACCACGAAGTCTCAACACAAGATGAAGAGTGGACTCCTTTTGAATGTTGTAGTCAGACAGGGTGCGTCCATCTTCCAGTTGCTTGCCAGCAAAAATCAGTCTCTGCTGATCAGGAGGAATTCCTTCCTTATCCTGGATCTTGGCCTTTACATTTTCGATCGTATCCGAGGGTTTGACCTCGAGAGTGATCGTCTTCCCCGTCAGGGTTTTTAAGAAAATCTGCATCTTGGCGGCGGTCCCACCGCAGATGGCGGATCCAAAAGGAAGAGCGCCGCGCAGGCTCACCTGACTGGGTACTCTTAGAACTTAGTTTCTGCATCTGAAAATGAAGGGCTATAGAGATAAGCCCTTCAGAATATGCACAATAGAATCATTTGAGAAGCCTTCAAATACAGATCTCTGATCCTTTCCCTGAGCTATAAAATCAGAACACCTGCGCTGGGCCTGGCCATCTCTGTGTCTGAGAAAGTCCCCAGTGATTCTACCAGATGGGCAGACATGGATGCCACTTCTGGTCTTGTCATTCCCGGAATGGGAGACTGCAGAGTCCAGGTCTTCTCACTCAGGTTCTCTGGCTCTAAGTAAATTTCATATGCAGAACTATCTGAGTGTGACCAGATGACTAGGTGGAGAGCTGCTGCATGCTGTCAAGTTGATTCCAACTCTTAGCAGAATAGAACTGCCCCAAGGGTTTTCTTGGCTGTAATCTTTATGCTAATAGATTTCCAGGTCTTTCTCCCATGGAGCCTCTTGTTGTTGTTGTTGTTGTGAAGTGCCGTCCAGTCGGTTCTGACCCATAGCGACCCTGTATAGGGTTTCCAAGGAGCAGCTGGTGAGCTTGAACCACCAACTTTGCAGTTCAAATGGCTTTGCAGTCTGGCGCATTAACACACTGCCACACCAGGCCTCTGGGTGGCTTCAAAGCAACCACCTTTTAGTTAGCAGCTGAGCATGTTACCTTTCTGTCTCAGGTAAAGAGAAAGTGGCATTTTATAGAGAGCCTTGTTTCCCATGTGCCAGTGGGGTTTACTTGCGTTTGCAGCTATTGGAGTTAAGTACCATGGAATTGGTTCCAATTCACAGTGACCCTGTTTCCAAGCTGGTAAGCTTAAACTGCCTTGCAGTCCAGTGCTTATCCGATAGCCCCACACCAGGACACTGGGCACACCTCGGCAGCTTTAGGAAGACATGCCCAGGTCCTACCAGGAATCAGTCAGTCTGGGGTCAGCTTGGGCATGGGAGTTTTAACAGCTCCCCGGAGAGAGAAGAAGGAGCAGCTGAGGTTGGAACCTGCCGTGTTCTGGACTCTTATGCAAACTAGCATTCAAAGATGGCTGCAGTCTGGGGCCAAATTAGCTCAGAGAGTGCAGCCTCAGCCTTGAGGTGAGGAGATGAGAGGAATGGTGCTCAGAAACCAGGGAAGGCAGTAGGGAGAAGCTAGACAACGCTCCAGTAACTGTGCTTCCAGTTCGGTAACTTCCAGGCCTGGTCTGGATTGGTGGCCTGTGGGCCTTGAATCCCCTAGCATAGGCCCAACTAAAGCTAATGTCAGGCCAACTGTGACTTCTGAGGGCAACACCCAAGAGGAGGGGCTCTATGAAATAGGCTGTCCCCAAACCAAACCTCTTATTTGCCATAAAAGGGTTCAGAACACAGAGCCCCTAATGCAGGAGGTAGTGAGGTGGGGAGAGAAGACCTTAGGCCTGGGTGGCAATTCCCACCTCCTCCAGGTACTAGCTGTAAGGCCCTGAGTAGCTTGGCCTCTCTGAGGTTCTGTTTACGCCTTTGTAAAATGGGCATCATCTTTGGAGAACGGAGATTACATCATCCAAATGGTCAGCACATGACATGTTCATGTTCCCATCTAAAACTCTCACTCCTTTGGCCAAGTTTCTGTCTCCCAAACAGTTCCCACTCACCTGCACAGTCAATGCCAGCTCCACACAGGCAGAGATTTTTGTGGGTTTTGGTCACTAGAATAGTGCCTAGCAGATAGTTGGTGTTCAGCTAATAGTGTTGGTTGACTGAGATCTCCTAACAACTTTGTGACGTGTTCCACAATTCTGTAAATGGAAGCCTGGAGTATGTGTCTTTTCTGAGTCACTGCTGATTAGGACCACGACCAAACTTTGGAGCAGGGAGCCAGTGTCCTGTGGGTGTCTGAGTGACAGAGGTACTGCAGGCCAGCAGCCAAAAACAGGGGACACTGGCAAAGACGTGAGCTATACTCTCTGCCCACCAAGTAGCTCTACTTAGAGTTCCCTTCCCGCCCTGAGCTGCAAGGTCTTCCTCCTGTTGAGCCTCTCCTTGGCAAGGAGAAGCTACATTTCCCTGCTGCTTACAAGTCTCCGGGGGCTGAAGGCCCCAAGGGGTTTACCTTAAACTGACAGTCCCATGAGGTTTCATGGGGGAAGTGGAGCACTAAGGCCTGAATTGGACAGGCAGTGAGACTGGCATGATTGATGATGATTGTTAAGTGCTGTGATGTCGAATTGGTTCCAATGATAGCAACCCTGTATAGGGTTTCTGAGGAGGGAATTCTTTGAGGGAGCAGAAGGCCTCATCTTCCTCCCGTGGAGTGGAGCGGTTGGTGGGCTCGAAACATGACCCTGTGGCTCGAAGTCCAGTGCTTATCCTATGGAGCCACCGTACTGCCAGCATGATTGGTACAAGAACTAAAATCCCAGCCTTCAAGTTCCACCCTACAACCTTGACTGCACTGTGATGACTTTACCTCCACTGTCTGAGCCTCAGCTTCTGTGTGGGGCACACCCTTGATGATGAGACCCCCATGGAGGACATGAAGTACCTGGTAGTATCTGGCCCCTCCTGGGTGCCCAGCATGTGGTGGAACAGACTATAAAGCCTTCCTTCAGGGTACAGACCCATGTGTGAAGTGTGTAATCTCCAGGGCATCCTCTAGAACCCCAAGTCCTTAACAGGTGCTGTTAAAACCTGTTCATTCAATATAAACTGAGTGATGGGCTGCAGTCTTTCCTTGGGGAATCTACTTTAACAGGGACACAACCTCTCAAACCATAGAAAGTTCAAAGAGCGGGTAGAGGGGACTTGGGGAGACGGGGAGATAGGAAGTGCTTCAGGTGAGCACCTCACCTTCTCTCATTGGAACAATGAGTTGGCTCCAATCCAACACCATTTTCTGACTCCAACTCCACTCAGCTGGGTCATTCGGGTTTGCCTATTTGGACTGGAAACACAGGAAAGGCAGTGAGGGCCCAAACCACAGAGCCAGTCCAAAAGGGATTTCTGGTCTGGGTCTCCTCATCTGCAGTATTTACATCATCTCTGGTCTTCTGTTTCCCCATCTGTAAAATGGACACATCACTAGTTCTCACTTCCTGGAGTTATTATGGAGCCCTGGCATGGCACTGTAGGATCAGCACCAGACTGTCAGTTACAAGGTTGGTGATTCAAATCCACCAACTGCTCCTCAGAATATCTATACTGGGTTACTCTGAGTTAGAAGTGACTCAACGGCACTTAACAACAATTTACATTTTAGAACAAACCTGTAGGATAAGCACTGGACTGCTCACCACAAGGTGGGCTGTTCAAATCAGCTGAGGCTGTCAGCTCCCATAAAGATCTACAGTTACAGAAAGCCCCTATACAGGGTCTATGAGTGGGACTCAAACTTGATGGCATTTAAAAAGATTAGGAAACAACTTGTCCTAGGCCTAAATACTTGGCAATTTTAATAACATTCACTGGTTCTCATTCCCCTCAGTCCATGGAAATTTAGGTGTTTGATCAATATTTTTGAATTGATGTATTTCTCAAAGGAGAATTTCCATAGCTTTCCCTGGCTTTTCAAAGGGACATGCAAACTCTGGTGCCTAAGCGGATTACTCTGAGTGTGTTCTGTGGGATGCCAGAAGGTACCTCAGAAGGAGTGGAATAAAGGCCTCATTTCCCTGCCCTGGGAGGGCCTCTGATGCCAGCACCTGCTAAGTGGCTGGGTGTGTAGGCTACGCTCAGCCTGGGCAGGAGCAGTGGGACACACCTGGTCCCCTGGATTAACACTGCTGCCAGTCTCGTCACAGTCTGTCCGTACCCAGCCTTGGAGAAGGGCTGAGCTGTCCTGACATCCTGAAGGGACACAGGCTGAGGTATAGCCTGGGAGGAAGAGGGCAGCATCTGGCCCTTCCCTCCTCCCTGCACACTCCTATCCTGGATGTCCCTTCCCCATCCCTGACAAGCCTGGGCTCTCAGGCCTTGGGAGCACTCCCTAGGGGTGTAGGGTTGTGGAGGTCAGCAGGGCTGGAGACCTTCAGCCCACAGGAATTTAACTGCTATGTTCCCTCACCTGTGATTCCATCTCCTTTCTCTCCCTCCATCCTGCCCAGTCCTCCCCACCCCACCTTGCAGTCTTGTTGAGCCTTCTTGAGACCCTCCCATTTCCCCCCACCTCCCACTCCAAAAGCTCCTGGACCATGGGACGCGTAATGGGAGTTGGACTACCCTGCTTTTGGTTGGCTGCAGTCTCCTTTCACATAATGCTTAGTTAGCTCTCTAAGATGCACAGCCCCGGTGGCGCTGTAAGGTCAGCAGTTCAAACCCACCAGCTACTCTGTGAGAGAAAGATGAAGCCGTCTGTTCCACAAAGATTTATAGTCTCAGAAACCCTACACAGAGTCCTTGTGAGTTGGAATCAGTTTGGGGGCAATGGGTTTGGTTTTGGTTGGAAAATGCCTGTGTACATGGTTAAGCTCCCCTGAGTGGTCAGATTCCCTTGAATGCTCCTCAGCACCTGGTCAGTGCTCAGTGACCACCAGGAGAACAGATTGTGGTTTTTCTGTCCCAGCCAAGATACAGGAAAAGGAGCCACCTACCTCATCTCTGAGATCTGCAACCTATTAGGGCAGCCTGAGGGTTTCACTGAAGGGAAACATGTGTCTGGAAGAGAGGCCATCCACACAGCCCACCTCTATTATTGGTCACTGTTGGCAGGGTACAGGGGAGCCCATGCCAATTCCACTGGCCAAAGCACCCCAAGGTGTCTCTTCTGAACCCTCAGTGGTCCTGTCAGGTGGCCAGCAGAGGAATCCAGCTTTCATAATGCTGCCGGTGGGCCCGAGAGCTCGCCTACCTGAGCTGTAGCCCTAGCCAGGAAAGCAAGATGGTCTTTGTGGCTTAATCCAGATCAATACCATCTTCCAGCTCGCATCTTCCATGTCCCCACTCTCTCCCAACACTTAGCACAATTTCTCATTTCCTTATGTGATAATTTGATTAATGTCTGTTTCTCCCACA